GAAATCATTGGTTGTGGTGCATTCGAGAGAGGTGTATTTCGTTCTCTTTCTGGAAAGAAAGGAATATAGAATAAACATTTGAAGGAAACTTTACTCGCATACCTATTCTCTCTTTTTCTTGTTGCTCTCGGAGCTTTCTCACATACACACTAGGTATAATAATATTTTCTTTCTTTCCATCAATATGTTCAATTTGTTTTTGTAAGATAGTACATGCAAGAAACAAATCACAATCGCTTATAAAATCGTCATCTAAAATGAATACGAAAAACTTGCATTTTACAGTCTATCTCACTCAGTTTGCTTTACACTGACGTTTCAAACGTAGTTGATCTTCATAGCAACGTTTGATAATTGATAATTTTATATTCTTGTTTAATAAATGTTGTGAAATAGGTAGATCTAAACGAGCAGCGACTAATCTTGATAGTGTGCTCTCATCGGGTATTTGTAATTGTCGACTATTTGCGTTAGTTCCATTTTTTGTTGAATTGTTAATACCGTTGTTTGAGTTTTCATTAATATTTGATGAAGAAGGTGTTTGCTGTTCATTTGTTCTTGTTCGTTCTAGAAACGCAGTCATTTGTTAATTTAGAGAAAGGTGAGGATGAGAAAGTGAACAATTTTCTACCTTGAGCAGCTCGTTTTGATGCTTGAATTTTTTGATACAAATCATCACCACACAACTGACGAGCATAGGCACAATGTGGAAACCATCGAGCATGTTCGATCATAGGATTATCATTTGGACCCCAGTTTTGTAAAGAACCATTGCAATAAAAGCATGTCACAATCGTTTTTGTCCCTGTATAGAAAAATCCTGATTTAACCAAACTCTCCACGGATGGTAATGGTTCTTGAGGCCATGTGTTGAATGATGCATGTCGTTTCGTTACTTCTATATAACCTAAATTACATGCTGCTGTAAGAACAATTTCGTTTGAACGGATAAAGTTGGTTTTTGAAAAATCAGTGGCGGTAAGAGTTGAAGGTGATAGTGACGATTGCTGACTTGTTTCATTTAAAATTCGAATATTATTTGATGAAGTATTAGTAGTTAAAATTGATTTAGCAAAAGGACAATTTGGAGATAATATTTTATGAATTTCGCTTGGTTCACCATCATTAGTTGTCCACTGCTGCAAGATCACATTGCAGTAAATGCAAATGACTCGATCACCCACATTACAATTAAAAAAGCCCGCGTCAATCATTTGCCGTTTTGACGGGATCCTATGCGGCCAATGAGAAAATGTTCTTTCTCGAACTTGTCGCGTCATTTCTGCTTCGAAATAGTTTTCAAAAAGATGGCAAATCTAAATTGTTTTAAACTGTCAGTCATGTAAAGTAGAAAAACATAGTTATACATAGTGTCCCATGGATAGACATAATGATACAGCTTGATCTGTTTTGTTATTGTTTTAGACTTGATAATGACCGTTAAGGTCGAAAATCAGTCATTACAACAAAAAAGATCATGTTGTCAGTTAGAACAGTTGCATTTTATAGCTCTCATGTTTAACACCAAACCTGTTTTGGTTTTTCTTCCATTTGCTGTTTTCGTTTTGTGTCTCCTACACATGTCGATGTTTCAGTCTTTTGAAATTTCTGTGGCTTGATTTCAGTGGGTGACAGCGATTGATCTATACATGGCAACAACGAACAAATGTAGTGTCATCATAAGTAATAGGATCCATTGTAGATAAGCCACGACCAACCATGCTCAATCGACTTTCTCCAAACTTGATTTCAATTACATAAGTCAGAAGTACAATCAATAGCAAGTTTTCTGCCGCAAATCGTAGCTCTACAACTCAAGTAGTTATTGAGATATTCAAGTTTTAGGAAAAGTAGCCATTTTTTTGGTGGTGAACTCGGATCAATTAGCTTTTAATCTTGAATATGTTATTTTCTAACGGCTTGACTTAGAGAACCGAAAATTTCAGCACAAAACGGCACAAGAAAAACTTTGGACTTCCAAGAGGAACGCGAGATATTGAATTTTTAGTGAAAGGACGGGGTGGAATAAGAACGAGAATCGGCCCCATTTCAGATCTGCTCGAAAGGTATCTAGAATAAAAGAGCATACAATTTTATGAGGTTCTACATCGTTGGTTCCCCTTCGGACCTCATATCTGTGAGAAAATCGATCAACTTTGA